ATTAGATTTCCTGATTACTTGCAGTACTTGCATACTAAGTTCTGTGATTCATGCACTAGGGCACCCATATTTCTCTGCATCTCAGAGTTCTGCAACCTCTACTTAGATAATATGTTTCCTATTTATTCTTTCAACTAAAATGGTCAATTCTGCCTGTTCCCACATCATATTCCACTTGCCAAATCATTGACTACTCACTTATCCTATCTCCGACCCTTTGTACGTTCCTTTCGTCATCTTCAAACTCATGCTCCAACTTATCTTTCTCTCATCAGTAAACTTAGCTCCCATGCTTGTGGTCCCTTTATCCAAATCATTTATATAAATCGTTAAGGTCGAGGCCCAGCACCGACCTCACTGGTAACATCCTACCAGTCTAAAAAACAACCCACTTATTCCTACTGTGCTTCCTATTAACCAGCCAATCTTCTATCCATGCAAAAATGTTATCTAAGATAACAAGGTGTAAAGCTGGATGAACACAGCAGGCCAAGCAGCATCAGAGGAGCACGAAGGCTGACGTTTCGGGCCTAGACCCTTCTTCAGAAAATGTTATCTATCAGGTTTTACTTTCCACAATAACTTTTTATGTGGTGCTTACCAAATGTACCCTGGAAATCTAAATACAACACATCCACTGATTGCCTTTATATCACAACACAAATTATTTCTTGAAAGAACACCAAAAAAATTTGTTGAGCATGTTTTGTCTTTAACAAATCCATGTTGATACTGCCTGATTTCCTTGAATTTATTCAAGTACCTTATTATAAACATCTTTAATGACAGCTTCTAATGCATTACATTAACTGTTTTTCAATATAAAGGAATCTTCTCCAAATCTAATGACTTTTGAAAAATAAAAACAAATGCATCAAAACGTTAGGACAGGCATTAGGAAACATTGTTTTCTCTCAGAGGGTTATCGGTCTTTGGAATTCCGTACTTCAAAAGGCAGCAGATGCAGATACTTTAAATAATTTTAAGGAAGAGGTAAATAGATTCTTGCATACCAAGGGGATGAAAGATTATCAGGGATATGCAGAAATTTACAGTTGAGGTTAAAACTAGATCAGCTATATTATTCATTAGCGCAGCAGGTTTGAAGTGCTGAGCAGCCCATTCTCGTTCCTAGTTTGTAGATTTATATAAAAAAGTAACTAATGAGACTGATTAAGACACTAGGATGAAATACATCAGGATCTACAGACTTCTCAACTCATAGTTCTAACAATTTACTCAGTACTACTTCCTTGGTAATTTTAATTTTCTTGAGTTCCTCTCTTTCTTTCAATTCCTGATTTACAGCTACTTCCAGGATGTTACTTGCATCTTCTTTAGTGAAGACTGGTGCAAAGTATCTGTTCAATTTGTCTACCATCTCTTTGTTCTCCATTACTAATTTCCCAGACTCATTTACTTTATTGGACCAATACTTAACTTGTTAATTTTTCTTTTTAAATGCCTAAAGAATCTTGTATTTTTAGCTAACTTGCTCTTGTACTCTTATTCCACCTTAAGTTAATCTTTTAGTAATGTTTTCTTGATTTAATTATTCCTTCCTTTTATATTGTGCCCAGTCTTCTGACCCGCCACTTATCTTTGCACAACATTTGTTTTCTTTTGAGTTTGATATTATCTTTGACTTTTTTAGTTTAGCACAGATGGCAGGCCTATCCCTTAGAATTTTCTTATTTGTTGAAAGGCATTGATTCAGTGTTTTCCGGAATGTCTCCTTAAATGTTTGCCATTGTATCTCTATTGGTCCACCCTTTAATCTGAACTATCAGCTTACTTTTGCGAGCTTTGTCTCATGCCCCCCAATTGCCCTTATTTAAATACAAAACAGTAGTCTTTGATCAACACTTCTCTCTCTTCAAAGTCTATAATCGTATTATAGTTGCTGCTACCTACCTGCTGTTACCTTCAGTAACTAATCTTGTTGGTCAAGACCAGAACTGTAACCTTCCCTCCAGCTGGTTCCATGCTGGTCTAAGAAATTGTCCTGAAAACGTTCAGTGAATTCCTCAATTAGACTACTTTTTCTCCATCTGTTTTTTTTCCAGTCTTTATATAGTGTAAAATCTCCCATGGTAATTGTCAGACTCTTTCACAAGCTCTTGTTATTTCTGCCTTGAAACTCTCTCCTACAATATGGTTATTGTAAGGGGCCCTGTACACTGCCCCCACAAGTGACCTCTTGCTTTTATCTCTTCCATTCTACTTCTTTATTCGAGTTTTCTGAATTTAAGTCATCCTCTATTGGGTTAATAGCAACTTTAACTAATACAGCCATTCCTCCCCACTTTCCAAGCTGCCTGTCTTTCCTAAAAATTGCATACTCTTCAATACTCCAGTCCCAATCTAGGGCATCCTGAAAATATACATCGGTACTGGCCTGCAGATTATACTTATTTGTCTCCATTTGTATTACTAGCTCATGTTTTGTTTACAGTGCTACCTGCATTCAAATACAGTGCCATACCTCTTGTTCTTTTATTAATTTTGTAACCTCTAGTTTCATCTTAGATTTGAAGTCTCAGACAATGACAGGAAGGGAACAATCATTTCCCACATTAAGGACTTTCTCTGTTGCCTTTGCTTCACCACAAATTCCCAAATTTCCTTGCCCTCATTATTAGCTTAAAACCCGTTCTACTTCCATAATTATGTAGTTCTCAAAAACACCAGTACACCAGTTCAGATGTAGACTATCCTAATGATACATATTCTATTTTCCCTAGTACTGCTAGTGCCCTACAAACTGGAACTAACCACTCTCACACCAGTCTTTTAGCCATGCATTCTTCTTTATAACCTTAATTGCCTTAGAATAGAATAGAATAGAATATCCTTTATTGTCACGTGTACTCCAACATAGAAGTACAGGAGTACAATGAAAAGTTCTTACAATGGCTGCCTTTAATGGCACCATCTGAGGTATGAGTACCTAGGTACAAATTTTGGATACAAAGAGGAATAAAAGGAAAAGTAGTAGCATTATTTACAGTGTTAAAAAAGAAGTCAGAACCAAGATAGTTAGAACATAGTTAAAGGATTTATATTACTATCCAGTAAAGAGCTTCAAATAGCAGCAGCTCAGCACGTGGTCTAATCAACCACATCAGGCCCCAGCCCAACAACTGTGCCGCTGCACTCCAAGCCTCCAGTCCGCTCCTCACCAGCACTCAGCTGCAACAAGGTATGTTGTGCTGCACTGGGACTCGCTTCCCCTCACGTTGCCCCAGGACTCATTTTTTCTCACATTGCTCAGGGACTGCTTCCCCACACACTGTTCTGCATGTGGCTCAGGTAATAATCCTGACATTATTCAGAGATTAACGAGAACGTCTGTGCTTCTGCTTCTTAATTTGGCATCTAGTCCTCACACTGACTGTGTAGAACTTCTTTCCTGGTTCTAACTATGTCACTGGTGCCTGCAAGGACCACTGAAAGCTCATCTCCAGTCCACAGCAGGTAACCTGAAGCCTGGCACCTGGCTAGAACATTCACTCTTTCCGGCAGTGAACAGTGTCAATCTCTTTGACGAACCTGACCCCAACAGATGCAAAATACCAATTGGCTCCCCCTGCTGGAACTGCTTCTTGTACCATGGTCCCATGATCATTTAGTTCATCCATTCCATAGTCAAACAAGCTCAGAGAACCTCGACCTGTTGGACAACTGAAGAGGCTGATATTCCTGTCCTCCGAGTCCTCGATTAACTCACTTGCAATCACATCTTCCTGCCTCTGACCATAAACACCCTATTCTAAGAGGTCTAACTGCCTTCTGGTACAAAGAATCTCAGTAACTTCTCTCCACCCTGATGCACAACAGCATCCGTAATTTAGCCTTCAGCTCATAAACCCTGAGCAGAAGCTACTCAAGCTTTAAACACTTAGCACAGATATGATGGCCCTTGATCAGTGATATTCTTGAGCACCAACAGACTGCAGCTATTAAAAGCACCTATAATTCCATTCTTCATGATTTTTTAATTAATTAGTTATATTATTCAATTATTTGTTGATTTTTGTGTATTATGTTAACTTTGCCACAAATGTGTATACTACATTAAAATTTGAGAATAAAGTAGGCCTTAACCAATTAATAGATACTCACCAAACTGCTAGTTCCTTTTGCTGTAGTGGAGTAAGAAACAAGACCTATCAATCAGCCCTCTGCTTGTTGCTGATGTTATTCTCGTCAGCCTTTGCAAATGTTGCTTTCTTTTGGCCGTTGGAGCGCAAAGAGTGACCACTACGTTGCGCGCTCTCTCGCTCACGTTTTATCTGGCATCCACCTGCTCTCTCTCATGAGGTGTTTTATCTGATACCCATGCTTTCCCTCTCTTGCCACGTTTTATACATTGCCTGCGCTCTCCCTTTCTCACTGTGTTTTATTTACTGTCCATTTTCTCGTTTTCTTGCAGTGTCTTATCTAGTGTCCACTCTGTCTCTCAGTATTATATCTGGTGACCGTTTTTCTCTTGTTATTCAAAAATTAACCTACCAATGCCTTAAAAGTATTCAATGACCTGGTCTCTACTTCATTCTGGGGAACAGTGTTTCACCGACTCAGATCACTTGAAGGGAAAAGATTACCCTCACCTCTGACTTAATTGCATATCCTTCATTTTTAAACTGTGCCTCACAAGGGGAAACATCTTTTTATCATCTAGACCGTCAAGTCCCATCAGGATCTTACACGCTGCACATGGTTAATGCACGCTTCAGCTCTGGAGTTTCTTGACTTTTTAAAAAGAAAAACAGCAATGGGATTTTAAGCTGTTTACAAGCACACACATTTTCCTTCAGCTTCCTTCGACAAAAAAAGGAGAAAACCATGATGCCAAATATTCCTACTCTTAAAAGTTAATTTAATTGGTTCAAACCCTCATTTGCTTCAAATCAACATAGTACCAATATAGCTCAAAACTTGAAAGATGCCTTAGCACGATAAAAATGTCATTTTAATTACTGGAAAATCTTACTCACCATGCTGTGTGAAGAGGTCACTGTGCACTATTTCTATCAAACAGTACAGTTTCTGAAGCACAAGTCTGCCTGATGGAACTTTGTGGATAAAGTCTGTAAATAGTTTACTGTACAAAAAGGCAGACAAGTCACAATTAAATTATGATCAAATTAAGGCCTTAAGCATACGATCAAAGAATTCTTTATATATAGAGATTATCTTGAGGTTCACCATACGACTATCAGAACAATCGTGTAACTTATAAGTAAATTCCAACACTACCTCATTGTGCAGTGAAAAGTACGATATCGTTTTGTGATATGGTATTACTGGTTTATAGTTCTTATAACTCAATATTTAAAACTAAAATATTTGAAAAATATATATAATATTTTGATAGTTAAAACATTTAAGGACGCATCAGTCTTTTTAATCTGGATTTTTGAAGTCTATGCATGGATACCGAAACACAAAGCACACTGTTAAGAGTTTAACTTTCAAAGAAACGATTTTAAAAATATGCAATTCTTTACAAACTCTTCATAGCTTGACAATCATTTTCTTCTCCATTTTAAACATTAGCAATTACTGTCTCAGCTAACAAGTACCAGAATAACATCTCACAAAAAAGATAAATTCCATTCAGGTTTATTTGCAAATAGATCATCTTCTGTAGATGGATCATAAAATTTTTGAGGATTAGTAGAATGGGCAATATTGAAAATACACGTTACAAGAGAACTATAGGTTCAAAATTGATCTACATTATTTTTACATAAGTTGTTATTTAATGAGCTGCCCATCTTAGTTCGGTTGGAGGCAGGAAACAACAAATTTGATGCCCTCATTTACGTGCCAGTACATACATAGTGAAGAATCTACCATCCAGCTGGTTGCCCCTGCATTCGGCAAGGTGCAAAACAATATGGAGCATGGCCAGTTTCTCTTCATAAGAGCAGACTTCTTAGAAGGTAATTGCATCGAATTATAACTGCTGTAAAACACAGTGGGGAAAAGCAGGGATGGGATAGGGTAGGGGGAAGAGAGACAGACAGGAAAGGAGAGGTAGGAGGATCAGGAAGTCCTCAGAAATAAGTGACTAGGGAGGGGATGACTAGGGAGATGAATTCATGGTGTAGAAAACCTAACAGAAGACCACAAAAAATCTAACTAGTTTGAGATGGCCAATGTCAATGAATGCATTTCCACATGACATTTCCCACTCATCATTTCATCCGTCCCTCATATTGTTCAATACATTATGCCTTTATCACATGACTATTGCTACTATCTGACACACGGGACTCTTATATTATACCCTCATACTACATACAGGGCATTTTGCAAATTCGTTTCTCAAGATAGTCAGCCATACAAGCCATTGAAAGTCTTTAGCAACACAGTACATGGTCAGGAGACCAACCATCTTCCATAGTACACCCTCAGGCAGCATTACAGATCCAACTGTCATGCCACATCAGTCAGACAGTTTGACCATTGAAAAGACCATTTATCTTGATATTAAAAGAATCAATATCAGAAAAAGACACAACCCCAATTTGCAATGCCAGCAAAATCTGCTATTCACCCACCTTAGTCCAAATCTAATAAGACAATGACTCCCTATTACTATGCCCAGGAAGCTAGGTCAGCAACTTGAAAAGCTTCATGACAGGAAAACAAGTGGGGCAACAACTCTGAAGAGTTTACCAGGTTACAAAAGAACTTAATTTTTCTGGTAAGGTCAACGAGCAGCAGAAAATATTTATTTTAGGACGGCACCTTGGATGCCCTGCTGCAATAAGTGCAGTAAAGGAGTGCAATCATGTTTTGACAAAAGTGGCAGACTGGGTAATTCAAAATCTGGACCAGCTAGGTGCAGGAACTGCACGGCACAAACGAATCGTCAAATTGCAAACTGGTTCACTAATGGACTCTGAGTGGGTAAACTCAGAAACATAATTTATAGTTCCAAACAATCAGATACTGTTTTGCATTCAATGCAGAAGCATACTTAAGTAATCAGAAACGCGTTAAGGCAACTCAGTTCTTACCTAAGTTCCTTGGGATCAAATACCAATTTCACATCATTGACAATTGTTGGCAGGTACTTCAAAGCTGCTCCCTATAAATATCATAGATAAGATATGCTCAGCTTGGAATAGAAATTGACAGCCCTCAAGCCCATTTTTGGGGATGGCTTTTATTTTGACATGGCAATTTAAACATTCAAGCTTTTTTTTAAAAAGCATTTCTGAAAAATTCCAGTCATGTGATCTCAATGTTATTTCAGAGCAAACACATTATTGACAGTTTAAAAAAAAAATCAGCCCTCAAAACATTAAATCTAAGAAAAAGGATTGCCCACTGATAATAAAGCGTTGATACAGTATTGAGCCAAATATCTGAAACACTGAACATAACTGTGTTTATCTGTATGTTGACATGAAAGTCACTGGGTGGACCATCATTTATTACACGTAAGCAATTGCTCTCGAGAAGACAGTGGCAATCTGCATTCTTGAAATGCCTGCCGTCCATTTGGTGTAGGTACACTGTGCTATTAGGAAATCTGTTTCAAGATTTTTGCCCCAGCAATAGAGAAGGATCAGTGACATAGCTCCATGTCAGGATGGTGCGTGGCGTACAGAGGAATTTGCAGGTGGTGATACACAATGTTGCTGCTGTCTTTGTCTTTCAAGGTGGTAGAGGTCTTAGGAGACTTGCTGAGTTTTTTGTCATGCATCTTGTAGGCGATACATACTGCTGCCACTGTGAATCAATGGTGGAGGGACTGAAGATTGAATCAGTAAATGATGGGGTAGAAACCTCATGGTATCTGCTTTGTCACGGATGGTGTCGAGCTTCTCAAGTGTTGCTACAGCAGCACTCATCCAGGAAACTGGAAGGTTTCCAACTGTGACTTGTAAACACTGGAAAGGCTTTGGGGAGTTACTTATCATAAAATGCTGAGCTTCTGCCCTGCAAATTGAAGCCAAAGTATATATATTTAGCAGGTCCAGTTTTATTTATGGTCAAAGCTAAATCAGCACTGATTGATATTGGAGTATTCAGCAATGCTATTACCATTGAATATCAAAGGGCGATTGGTTGGACTCTCCTGTTGGATATCGTTGTTACCATGTGTGGTGCAAATATTATTTCTTAAACTTACAGAGGAGACAGAGGTGGGTTTTAACCATTCGTAAGTGAACATCCATACTTCAGATCTTATGGATAAAGGGAAGGCTTTTGATGAAGGCATATAATACAAGCCTGAGAAAATCTTGCAATAATGTCCTGCGGCTGAGATGATGAACCTCTGACAACCACAACCATCTTCCCTTTCGCCAGGTAGGACTCTGACCAATGAATAATTACGCTCATGACTTCTTTGCATTCCTTAATGCCACACTTGGTCAAATGTTGCCGTGACATCAAGAACAGTCATCCTCACTCCCCACCCCTGCCAAGTTTAGTTCTTCTGTCCATGTTTGCAGCAAAGCTGTAAGAGGTTAGGTACTGGATGAGTCTATTGGAACCCAAACTGAGCATCAGTGAGCATGTTATTATTAAAGAACTGCGATTTGGTAGTACTCTTGATGACACCTTTCATGTTGATAATGTGGAAACTAACCTGGTTAGATTTTCCCTGCCTTTAGGGTACTGCACGTACCTGGGCTGTTTTCCACAATGCTGTAGATTACAATACACAGTTGCTCAGGGGTGCAGCAAGTTCTGGAGCAGAAGGCTTCAGTATTACGTTGTCACAGTTCATAATCTTTGCAGCACCCAGTACCATCAGCTTTTTCTTGATATCACAGGGAGTGGATCAAATTGGTTGAAGGCTGGCATCTATGCCCAAGGAGGCTAAATGGATTGTCACTTGGTTCTTCTGGCTGAAGATGGTTGCAAATGTGTCAGCCTCCTATCTATGACAATGATGGCAGCTTCTCCAAAGGATGCTCTGAAATGTCCACTTTCTTCCTCAATCGAGGATTCCCATCCTTCAGTCCTCACCACTTCTCCTCCCTCCCATAACAGCAATAAGGATCCCCCTTGCCCTCATCTATCATCCCACCAGCAGCCACATCCAAAGGTTCATCAGCCACCATTTCCATCAACTCCAGACACAGATTCTCCTCCCCTCCCTTGTCAGCCTTCCGCAGGGACCTGACCCACTCACCCTCCCCACATTCCTATGGTACCTTCCTATGTAATCACAAATGGGTAACAAAGTGTCCGTTTTCTTCATCCCTTCTCACTACCCAAGGCCCCAAAAACACCAGCCAGGTGAAGCAATGATTTACCCGTACTTCACTCAATCTAATCTGCTGTATCCGCTGTTCACAACATGGTCTACTCTATATGGGGAGATAAAACGCAGACTGGGTGATAGCTTTGCAGAATATCTACATTCTGTCCACAAAAATGGCTGAGCTTCCTGCTGACTGGGCTTCAACACACCACTGTTTCCTGGCTAATATCTCAGTCTCAGGTTTGTGCAGTGCTCCAGTGAGGCTCACTGCTCGCTGGAAAAACAGCATCTCATTTTCCTGTTGGGGATTCTGCAGCCTTCAGGGCTCAATATCAAATTCAATAAATTTTTGGACGTGAGCACCTTCTCCTATGTCCTTACCCTAAACCCCACACATCGGGTCTTGTCATCACATGGGTTTCTACCACAACCATCCCATTATCAGCTACTCATGGTCCCAATTAGCAGCTATTCATGCCCCCAAACTGACCTTTACTCATTTCTTTATCTGTTGTTTCTCTCTTTCTCCGGGCTTCATGTCCACCTATCGTTTCCTCCTTCCTCCTCCCCCTACCCCATCATCAGCATACATACACTAACTTTTCCTAGCTACAATCCATTCTTTAGAAGGGTCCAAAACCCGAAATGTTAACTCTGCTTTCACTCCACAGACGCTGCCAAATCTGCTAAGTTTTTGTTTCTGATTTCCAGCATCTGCAGTTCTTTGGTTTTTTCATAGGAATGTAGTCCATTTGGCTCAGAGCCACTTAATACAATTGTGACTGATCGAACACTTCAATCCATTTTACCCACACTATCCCCATAATCCTTTCCACCATTAGTAATCTGAAATCAATCTCTACTTTAAATACACTCTGAGAATAAACTTCCATAACCCATTGGGGTAGAGATTTCCAAAGATTCACAAATCCTTAGAGTTAAAAAAAAATTGCTCATCTCAGTCTTAAATGGCATCCCTCTTTCTTTTAAATTGTGATCACTAGTTCCAGCCAAGCAAACAGGAGAAACATCTTACTTTCAACTACGTTGACTATCCCTTTTAATATTTTGTAGGCTTCAATGAGAGCATTTCTCATTCTTCAAAACTCCAGAGAATACAGGGCCAGTTTGCCCAATCTCTCTCATAGGACAGTCCCATCGTCCCAGGAATAAATTGGCAGAATCTCATTGCTAGTATCAAGCAAACCAGAGCAATTAAAAAGCTACAGAGAACACAAAAATAGAGGGCCGAGTTGAGTAATTTTTTAGGACTCAAATGCCGGTGTTCCTTAAGCTTCCTTGCATCTAACATATTGCTTATTGAAGAACATTGTTCCTAAGTACAAATTGTCTAGAAGAATTTAAAAACAGTGAGGTTTTATGGATGTAATGATGGTGAAACTGTCGCTCTTCATTTCCTTCACAGCTGTGAAAGTGACAGTATCTGCTACTGCCCACACAGATGCAGTTAAACATGGGAACACAGAAGCTACTGTTCATTATTTCCTCCTTCTTCACAAGATGTTAAGTCTCTGCAAGTGGAAATCTTAGAAATCACTTGATCTAATGCGAACTTCCAATTTTTTGAATTATTAATGTTGTCGTGTAAACCATTGAAAAGCTACATTTTGTTGAATGACATTGAGCTTTTTTTTATCCTAAACAGCTTATGAATTCAATTACTGAACAACTTCCCTGGGAGATAAAGTAGCATTTTATAAATGCAGGATGACAAATTCTTCCACTGTGATTAAAAAAAAATTGATATTTAAAATCACATGCTTTTAAAAGTTTATGGTATTCTAGCTTCTAAAGTCCATCCACGTGGTCAAACTTTATTTATCTCTTGATGACAAAGATTATGGGAAAGATTATCAGTGTTCCTTATTCCCAGTTTGCTGACTAAAATAATTTTTCTAAGGTTTTGGAATAGATCTGTAGCTCGGGTTGTGGGCGTTGAGGTTGGTTGGCTCGCCGAGCCGGTTTGTTGTTTTGCAGACGTTTCATTACCATGCTTGGTAA